TACCACTACTGTGCATGTGTGTCATGGACAGAAAGGCAGATGTGGCAGTGGAAGGTGTCAAAGCAGTTTGGAGAGAAAAACAAAGTAAAGAACAAAAAAAAGATTAATCGATTATTAAATTAGTCATCGATTATTTTAATAATCGATTAGTCGTCGATTTAATCAACTAATCGTGGCAGCCCTAATCGGGATATAGCTTCATGTTATCAGTTTGTGAGCAGTGATGGGTGAGTCACTGTTAAATTGTCCTTGCCGCCTTTTTAAACATCCTTACAGTATATACACCTCCAATGTGTTGCCATTTACACCAAATTTCAATGAAAAATGCTTTGATAAACAGCCAAGTGGAAATACAGTATAGAACCTGCTTCCACTATGAATTATGGGTAGTGGAGCAAAATACTGTATGCACCCACATCCAGGTCTGTTCCAGAAAGAATCAGAAAGAGCTCCAACAAATTATTAGTTTAATGGTGAACATATCAAATACATAATTCTGACTCTTTTGGATATTTTCCCCACAATTGTTTTTTTTCCACCCAAGTTTATTAAAAGTAAAGGTAGAAAATGTTTTGAAATTTTAGTTAAATTTTGTTACATCTCAAAAACCTCCCATTTCAACAGGGGTTTGCAGAGTTTTGTTTATATCCACTGTGTGTTATATCATTTAAGTTATTATTTTAAGGTTAAAAAATGAAGAGCAAAACCACATAAAAACACAATCTGTAACACAACAAAGAAAACTAGGTTTTTACCATCCATCAGGCTGTTATGCAGCATTTTCAGAGTGGGGTACTGGTTCAAGATGYTGTCCTTGAAGACACATCTCCAGAAAACTTTGATCTTCTCCGATTGGTCTGTCTCAATCCAGTCCAGGAGTTCATAAATTTCTCTCTTCAGATTTTCTTTACTCTTCATTCGAATCACTTTCTGCAYACACACAATAGAAAAAGAAATGAAATGATAATAGACACGGTCTTGTCCAAAAACTAGAGTTGAACACRAATCTTGAATAAAAGTGGGGTACARCCTGGACAGGTCACAAGTCATCATCATAATTCCCCATATAGCAATTTAAAACATTTTTAGGGTGTATTCAGACCTGACAATTTGCTCCGCTTTAAATGAACCAGAGTTCYTTTCCAGRGTTGGTACGGACCTTTTGTGCAGGTGTGAATACACTCATGTGAACTCTGGTGCYGATCAAACAACCAGACCGAGACCAGTTTTTTGATGTGGTCTCATTCCACTTCCAAAAGAACTCTGGTGCGGTTCGCTTCAGTGTGTGTCTGGTGTGAATACAGACCGGACCAGTACRGAACCATCTACGTAAAGCATGCGCCTTTTTGGACTTCATYGGCCACCGTTGTTAAGCATCATGGGAAAAAATAGCATTATTMTTGCTAATGCTAACACCACCTCTGCATGTACGCTAAAAACAATGAGCCYTGGACAGACCTGGAACAACGAAGAGACACTGTGCCCCCTCGACATTTGGACGGATGAACACATACTGTAACTAATCTGCTCGAGAAGACACATAAGAATGCGGTCYTMTTCTCCATATTTAGTGAGAAAATGAAGGAGCGGAGGTTCAKGCGTTCTCCAGAACAATGCCGCACTGAAGTTAAAAAACTTTGCCAAAATTACCAGAAGGCAAGAGACGCACTGAATAAAAGTGGGAMTTCAGGAGAAGAAAAAGACAAATGTCTGTGGTTTGATGAACTTGATAAAATATTAGGAACAAGACCAACAATTTSTCCTGTAGACATCATWGAAACGAACAGCCCGCTGGCAGATAACACGTCATCTGATAAGACTTCATCTGAAAGCACACCTTCCCCTCCAACCAGCAACTCTGTTGAAGTTGAGAACAATGGTAAGTGGGTTAATCTTTTACAGTGTTTCCCCTACCATTATACAGCCCCCCCCCCACCCCCACGCCAACGCCAATTTCCTAGGGAACACTGTAGGTAAATGTGAA